GGCTATTTATGCTTGTAATTGTGTGTGTGTGTTAATGTGTCTGTATGTCAGCATACCCTCAGTGATCAAATTTAGTTTTGCATCCACATTGTTTCTGAATTGCGTTTCATTCCAAATCGATCTTTTCTGAATTTTAACCAAGCCTACTTGTCCTTAAATTGAACATAAGGTATAGAGCCTTTTTTGACATGATAATGGCCACAGCATACTGCCCAACACACACACTGCACCTTCCTACACACATTGCCCCCTCACACACACTGCCCCTGCACACACACTGCCCCTTCACACACACAATGCACACACTGCAACCCTCACACACACACAATGCATCATCCCCACACACACACTTCATCCCATACACATTGCACCCCTCACACACTAACATCACTGTTCCCACACCGTGCTACCGGCCCTTTCCCCTACTACAGCCCCATATCCCAGCAGATCCCAGGTAAGTTGTCTTACTCTTACTAATTACTCTGGGAGGGCGTCACAGCCCTCCTGGCACTATAGACACTGCAGAGAATTGTAGTGGTTATTGTGCCTGGATTGGTTTTTTTTTTAAAAGTGCCCCTCCCGAGATCAGGCTTTGGATCCGTCTGTGGGTTACAGTGCTGTTAAAACATGTCAAAACATTACCACTTTTACATTGTTAACCTCTCATCAGCAGCCATCTGCATGTCAATAAATCTGCATACCCGATTTTAATTCACCCCAGAATGTCTAAATAATGCTAGTGCGTCTGCAAATTTAGATGTTGAACTTTGAATTCTTGTGTAGTGATGTCGTGAACAGCTTCAACATGGATGCTGTCCAGGAGGTGGGAGGGTCTGGGAGGGAGGGTCTGCTGGAGATTGGCCGGGATGTGTCAGCTGACCGGAGCTCGCCGCGAACCGTGGCGACCCGTTCACGGGAAGTTCGCGAACGGTTCGCGACATCACTGTTCTTGTGTTTGCAACCACTCCTGTCTGTTGACCTACATAGCAGGTATTCTGTTTTTGCCAAGGCCCTGATTCATCTATTAAATTGAAAAGTTTGGTTGTAATATAAGTCTGCTGAATAAATAACCACCAGCTTTTTTTATTGTTTATCCAGACTGCCGGATCTTAGAATCATTACAACATTATACAAATCATGTATACAGTTAGATTAAGCTGGAGAGAAAGATGGATCCAAAAATGTAGGCACAAAATAAAGGAGAATGAGAAAAAGAGAAAGGTAGAGGCTACATTTTAAATGATGGACAGTCAGCTGACAGAGAATACTTGTCAAATTAGAAAAAGCAGCGATAGGCCAAGTTGTGCAGCCCTAGTCTGCCAATGATTTCAAGGTCTCTAAAACAGATTCAGGAAGCATTCAGTATAATAGAAATAAAAGGTTATTCACTACTGAAAATTCCAAGTACATTTCAAATTCAAGGCTATAGTAGCTGAACTGAAAGTATAGCTGACCTTAGAGAATTTTTCCAGTTTGGCTATTTTGACCACTAAAAAGGCTAGGAATACAAACCTTCTCCCAGTGTTAAAAGGTTTAAAAACCCTTTTAAAACACATACCTTAATTCTGAAATATTTAATTAAAGGCTGCTGCCCACTGAAGTGGTCTGGGTGCCAACTCCCACTACCCTTGACCCTGCAAGTGTAACTATTGCAGTTTTCATAAACCACAATATTTACATTGCAGGGTTAAGTCCTCCTCTAGTTACTGTCTACTAGAGGACACTTCTGTTTTAAAACAATGCTGGACGTCCTCACGCTATGTGAGGACCTCCAGCGTCGAGGAAATCCCCATAGGAAAGCATTAAAAGCATTATTCAATGCTTTCCCAAGGGGAGGTCTAATGCATTAGGTCTCCCCTGCCGACTGATGTCGGCGGGGGAGGAGAGAAGGCGGGGTCTGGCCCAGCATCGAGGGACATCGGCGCTGGACTCCGGTAAGTCACTGAAGGGGTTTTAACCCCTTCAGCAACTTGGGATGGGGGTGGGAGGGAGAGGGGCACTAGAGGGTCCTGCAGTGCCAGGAAAACAAGTGTTTTCCTGGCACTAGAGAATCCCTTTAACTTTAAATTATCTAATGTGTTGTAGAATCTTGTTTTGTGATATGAATATTATAAAGTCTTTATTCAAACTTCTTTCAGACCATTTGAGAGAGGGTTGGAGTGCAGGGTATTCTCTTTCATTCAACTCCTGATGTATGGAGAAAAGGCCTCTCTGCTATTGTGTGCATAGTTTATACTAAGCGACCCATAGGTTGAGGAGGCGGTGACCGTGGCGGTGTAGGTGGAAGTGGCGGTGGAGGAGGAGGATGAGGTAGCCAACACCGTTTTTTATTTGTTTGTTTTTTTGTTTTGTTTTTTGTTTAATTGGGGTAGCCCCCAAAATATTGGGACATATAAAAAAAGAAACATTTGCGGCCTGCGGTGCATTTATTGCAGTCCTGATGCATGAAGAAATGCTCAACTGATGCATGGAGAAAAGGCCTTCACAAGCCTCTGCTATTGTGTACATAGTTTATACTAAGTGACCCATAGGTTGAGGAGGCGGTGACTGTGGCGGTGTAGGTGGAAGCAGCAGTGGAGGAGGAGGATGAGTTAGCCAACACTGTTCTTTATTTGTTTTTTTTTTTGTTTGTTTTTTATTGGGGTAGCCCCCAAAATATTGGGACATATAAAAAAAGAAACATTTGCGGCCTGCGGTGCATTTCTTGCAGTCCTGATGCAAGGAGAAATGCTCAACTCCTGATGCATGGAGAAAAGGCCTTCACAAGCCTCTGCTATTGTGTACATAGTTCATATTAAGTGACCCATAGGTTGAGGAGGCGGTGACCGTGGCGGTGTAGGTGAAAGTGGTGGTGGAGGAGGAGGATGAGGTAGCTAACAATTTTTTTTATAAATATATATATATATATATATTTTTTTTTTAATTGGGGTAGCCCCCAAAATATTGGGACATATAAAAAAAGAAAATTCTGTTCCTCAGAGTAGCTGTTGACATTATAGTTGCACAGGCACTTTGTTGACTCTAGAGAACCTCGGGCCAATTGCACATCCCCGTGACGGCGACTTTGCATTCGGATGTCATCCATATCAACTTTCGATGCCAGTTTCTGTGCCTACCATGGTGACCATGGGTAACGGGGAATCAGGGTTCCAATCCGTACAGGGACCCTAAGAAACGGATACCACATGCAAGGAAGGCAGCAGGCGCGCAAATGACCCACTCCCGACGCGGGAAGGTAGTGACGGCAAATAACAATACAGGACTCTTTAGAGGCCCTGTAATTGTAATGAGTCCACTTGAAATCCTTTAACTCTGATCAATTGGAGGGAAGTCTGGTACAAAGCCACTGACCCATGCGTGCTGCAGCTGAAACTCCACTATCGCCTGCTGCTGCTCGCACAGTCTCATGAGGCGGTGAGCGGGAAGGTCGAAGTTATGCTGCAGCACAGACAGCAGCAGGGTGAGAACACCAAAAGTGCGCACAGCTGCTACAGTGAATGTGACATCCTGTTCCAAGTTGCGGATCAGTCTGGTGATGGCTTCTGGTATCCAGTACTGTTTTTACTGAAGCTGCATCAGGGTCCTGGTATGTGGCAGCACAAACGCTGGTGCTCAACACCAGTGGGCGTGTGGTTACCCTGCACCAGGCCCTGCTAATTCATTCCTCACTGTGACTCCTAACTTCAACATCAGGCATACTGAGTTCCAGTCGTCCGACCGCCGCCCAGACAGTGTCTGGGTCCTGGTCACCGAACTGCCTACCTGTCTGTGAAACTACGAATGGATCGTTAAATCTGGTACGAACCCGAACTTTGCAGATCCTTTGATCGCTACATGTATTACTTGGATAACTGGTAATGCTCGAGCGAATACATGCCGACGAGCCCTAGGGGACGGCCGCTCTGCTTTTGCACCCTGCTCTCTCTTATGCTGTGCTGGTGCCTCTGTGCGACCAGCGCCTCTTCCTCCAAACTGCACACATCACTCGCATGACCTTGATTCCATGTGGGGTTTAGGACCTCATCATCCTCGACATCATCTTACACCCACTCCTCAACCCTGCCCTCCTTGCCGGTGTGCACACTGCAGAAAGCCACAGCAGTTGGCACCTGTGTTTTTCCAGCATGTAAAGTCTGCAAAGGACATATGGAAATTGTTTTAGAATTATATACAGGCAACAGTTTTCCCTATAAACTGACCTCTCAGTGAGGGTATTGCCCCAGAATACAATATTGTTTAAGTACCTCTTAGCTATTGATAACTGGTTTAAATATAGCAGCTTGTTATCTGGTAGTTTCTAGTGTAGAAAATATCAATCTGTTTTCTATCACTTAGATCTGTGTAACAGGTGTTGTAGGTGTGAAACGATATTACAAGTGACCAATGTAGTAAATTCGATTCAAAGTAAAACTTTGATTTGACTCTCAGATATGAAGTGAACACCCCAAATATACTATTTAGCACCAAAGAAAATAAAAAAATTAGACTTTTTAAAACGCCAATGTAAGCAGCAGATTAGCAGCAAAACAATTAAAATGTTTACCACTGCGCTGTAAGCACACTTTTAGACGCTTCTATTTGACTCTCAGATATGAAGAGCAGTCCCCAAAATGTACTATTTAGCAGATTAACACCCAGAAAATTAGAATTTTTACAACTGCGCTGTAAGCGCTTATTAGACGCTTCAATTTGACTCTTAGATAGGAAGAGCAGGCCACAAAATGTACTATTTAGCAGATTAGCAGTAAACAATTAGAATTTTTACAACTGCTTAGTAAGCGCACTATTAGACACTTCGATTTGACTCTCAGATATGAAGAGCAGGCCCCAAAATGTGCTATTTAGCAGATTAGCACCCAGAAAATAAGAATGTTTACCACTGCGCTGTAAGCACATTATTAAACACTTCTATTTGACTCTCAGATATGAAGTGCACACCCCAAATATACTATTTAACACCAAAAAAATAAAAAAAATACTTTTTAAAACTCCAATGTAAGCAGCAGATTAGCAGCAAAATAATTAGAATGTTTACCACTGCGCTATAAGCACACTATTAGACGCTTCTATTTGACTCTCAGATATGAAGTGCACCCCACCAAAATACTATTTAGCAGTTTAGCACCCAAAAATTTTAAGTTTTAAAACTGCAATGTGACAGCAGTATTTGATGCTTTTATTTGACTCTCAGATATGAAGTGCACCCCACTAATGTACTTTTTAGCACCCAAAATTGTGTAAGTTTTAAAACTGCAATGTGACAGCAGTATTTGACAATTCTATTTGACTCCGTTGGACGACGAATGTTGCAGATTCCTCCATTTCCTCTAGAAGGGCAGTCCATGACAATTCACTTGTCTTCCCTTCAGCCTCAGCTCAGCTCCGTGGTGCTTCACCAAGTTCCTGAAGCCGGTGGTCGCTTAACTCAGATCAGAGGCCGTCCGTTGTATAGTATACCTAGACGACTTGCTGATCTTCTGCGAGGACCCATCCAGACTCAAGTGTCAGACGTGCTCTGCGGTCTCCTTATTCGAATGCCTGGGGTTCGCAGTCAATCTGGATAAATCAGCTCTTGACCCTTCCCAGACAGTGGAGTTCTTGGGTTTCGAGGTGGAGGCGAAAGACTGCGTTCTCCGCCTGTCTCTGGCCAAGATAGCGACCATTCAGAAGGAGATAAGGAGGATCCTGCGGCAAGACCGGATTCCCCTTCGAATCTTAGCTTGCGTGGTGGGTCTCCTCTCGTCCTCTATACAGGCAACCTACCCAGGCCCGCTCCACTACAGGGCCATGTGTGTCCTTGGAGGTGCAGAGTCAAGCCGGGTTTCCGGAGCTCTTGGATCTCTCCCATCGG